TTGATCCTGATGAGTGAATTCGCACAAAAAGGTGGAATATTGGCGCTAGATAAAAGGTAAGCCTATTTTCTACAATGTCTCAAAGTTTCATCATATTCTAGCCACTCGTTTGCATGTAACTAATATTTTTTGTATATCAAGTTTGTTTTTTTCGCGGTTATGCCCAGGAGGTCAGGTTATAGGGACAGTTAGGTTCAGGGCCTTAAGTCTGGTAGGGTTAAACTTCATAATGGTTTGCTGAGAACAGCAATGGAGAATATCATTCCTGAAAAAAAAAAGGCAAAGGTCAGTCAGCACAACAGTAGACTCAGGATATTAAGGATACCCTGAGTTTGAAAGTTATGAGGCAGGAGAGTTGACAGGGGACCTCCCCATGTGGGTTCCAGGGTGCCATTGGGGAGTGGGTGGGGGATAGACCCATTGACCCCCTCCCTCCAACAAGAATGTCATAGAAATCGAATAATTAGGGGCAGTGCATTACATTAATTTTAAGTAACCATGGAGATGAGCCTTCATTTTCACAACTGAAGTATAATAACAAAAACCCCATCAGAAAAACAATGCTACACCTTATCTCTATTAAGAAAAGAAGCAGATGTATAGAATCTTATGTGTTACATAAGATTAGTTTTGGGGTTCTGATCAAAGACGCTGCAATTAAAAACAGTAGAGAAAACTTCAAATATAAATATAATGAAAGTTTGCACACACAAAAGAGACATTAATGTTCCATCTTTCTGTAAGTTCTGTTTAATTTTGATAAATAAAATGTTATTCTATGTGGTTTATCATTGTTTATATTTTGAATTACATTTACGGGGGTACAGGTGCCATCTTAAAACATGAGCCTGCTCGCATTTTCCTGAGGGGGTGAGGGTGGGGAGGGGGGGGGCAAGAACATAGGGGCTCCATGCTAATCTGTGTATGTCGAGTCAGCATTTACATTTAATTCCTGTGAGTGGTTGTGTCAGAGGTCCTAGCACATGCGTTTGCCCAGGGGCTCATAATACTGCAAAGATGGCTCTAGGAGGGGGCAAGGGGGGGGGGGCACCATCTTTAAAGTGCCTAGGGTCTTAATCCAGCCCTAATTAGTCAGAGAGGTGAGGAACCAACAGTCTGCATACAAATAAGTCAGATTTGTAAAATGGATGTCCAAGCCAAACTTCTGCTCTGGAACAAGACAAAAGTCCAGAAGTGGATGAACAACCAAAACTGTCTGCCACAGTTTACAGCCGGTGAAAATGAAGAAGAAGAAAAAGAAAAAAAGACAGCGGGGGACTAAGAAGCTTTACAATGTGCCATCATGAGAATGATGTTCTAAATAAGACCAGATACTTAATGATTATTATATCTCATGTCAGTTTTCCTTTGCAGTGTAATACATATAACTTCTTTCTATGAAAATGAATATATATGACTTTTATTTCCTACGCAAATGAATATAAATAGCTAACTTTTCTTTCCTAGGCAAATAAGGATAAATAACGTTTCTTTCCTATGCAAATGAATATACTTAACTGTTCTTTATTACACAAATGAATATACATTAATTTGCTTTCATATATATAATATATATATATATATATATATATATATATATTATATATATATATATTTAATACTTATATAACTTTTTTCCTAGATCGGCGGTTAAAAAATGGGTGCCACGGCATCATGGGTGCTACGAGTATGCTAGGGGTGCCGCAGCAATAACATTAATAGATACAAGAGTGATAAGTTCCATATTTTGTACAATAATTTTAACTTACCCCATGACGTCATGATGACATCACGGGAGACATTCAAATAATTTCCAGAGTGGTATGGTTGGGGGGATTTCTCCCTTCTAGAGTGCATCACAAAAGCGTGCCTCTTATGATGTGTGTTTACCCCGTGACAGCAGTCTTTATCTTTGCCGCATCTGGTGGCAGCAGTCGTCATGTTTGTTTGCTGTTCGTTCCAGCCATGACTTTTCTACAGTTAGTAGCATCTGTACAAGACAAGGAGACCAGCATTGCCTTCCTGCAACACTATGGCATTCTGCACAGAACGAGACGTTGCAGAAACAACCATCAGATAGATGGTGTATTATCGCTGTCAGAAAGACACACAACCAATCGCAGGTGTCGAAAGTCCACCTGTCGTTGCCACGTCTGATTGCAGCAGTTTTACTTTTCTACAGTCAGTAGCATCTGTACAAGACAAAGAGACCAGCATTGCCTTCCTGCAAGAGCATGACATTCTGCACACAACGAGATGTTACAGAAACAACCATTAGACAGATGGTGTATTATCGCTGTCGGAAAAACATGCAAACGTTTGCTGGTGTCACAAGTCAACTCGTCGTCTGGATATACCCGTACAGCAAATTGCGGACCTCTTTCTGGCGACTATACTGTGGCGGCCCAGAGTATCCCCCGTAGCGGCGCTGAGTGGGGCTAAACTAGATGGCTTTTATTTGCTAGTGAGTCCCAGCCATCTAGTTTAGCACCACTCCGGGCGGCGCAGGGATACTCTCTGCCGCGCGTAGTGGCGCGGGGGATACTCTCGGCAGCCGCAGCATAGTCGCCGGAAAGAGGTCCGCAATTTACATGTGACTGAGGCCCTGTTAAGGTATAACATTTTCGGCTGCTATAATTTGGGACCGTTATTCGGAGGATAGCCAAAAACACAATTTACATTTAGTATAATTAATTTTAAAAAAGTCACGTAAGGATTGAACGCAGCACCTTTCATTTATAAGTCTGATATATCAACTACGCTAAACATTCACATGACAAAATTATATAAAAACACGACCAGTATTGTTCACTGGGCAATTGCGCATCAACAAGCAGCCAACTGCACACCAACAGACAGACATATGCCGCACCAAAAGACACTAGAAGAGAAACGACAGCAGCAGCACACTTGCACCCCTTGAAATAGTGGACTGTCCAGTCAGCTGTGGAATTCCCATGGATTCCCTCTGTTTGGGGTACGTAAAAAATATTGTACCCCATATTTATCTATATGCAACAACTAAAGTCTCAAAGTGAAATTTCCGATCCCTTTTGCCCAGAATTTTTTTTTAAAGCAATCTCTTGTTACTCTGACAGCTCTTCTAAGCATGTCATCTCCTTTTTGTTATGATTCTGCACTCATTCACTGGCTGTGAGGAGAGTCTTTATATGACCCAGATAGGACCAAACTGGCCAAAACATAGTGATTAGATTTGCCTTGGTAGACAAAGGTATCCTTCTATATGTCAAAAGTGCTGTTAGTACCAATCAGACAGAAGTGGTTAAAGCAACATCTGTTACCAGACAAGCAGCATCAAAAAAGCATATCCTGGTTGAATAAATGCAAAGTAAGTTGCTAGGTTGCCAATGAGTTGAGTGGTAAAATAATATATGTGTGATCGCTTCATACATCTTCTTTAGTCTTTCCTGCTCTTAAGGTTTTTTTTCTGCAGATATCACAGCCTCCATTCATCCCTATGACTGGTCTTTTCTTTCCAGTCGGTGACTCCAAGTGTTTGTAGGTCTGCCCGAATGTTTTCTCTCCCCCACCCTCTTGGTCTGCCTCATGGTCTCATTTCAGTCAACTCCTCTGTTCCCACAATTCATGCTTGTCTGTTATATGTCATTCTCTCGATAGGCCCCAACTCTCATACATAAGCGTACACTGGCACAACCCACTAATATAGAAAAATAAAGTACCATTTTTAATCAGGCATATAATGAGAGAATCACATTCAGGTGATGTAGGCGCCTTTACTTTATCGGGCAGAGGTATTAAACTAAGTTGACTCAGGGGCCAAAATGTTGATAATGTGGGACATCACGGGTCCTGAGTACCAGCGTAGAAAGATAATTGATACAGTAAGACTTGCCATGATCTTCTGGCCACTTGCTAGGCCTCCACAGGCCAGATTTGGCCTGCAGGCCCACAGCTGAATAGCCGTGTTCTAGAGCATTACCTGGTGCCCATTTTAATTTAATGTAGGTTAACATGGTGGCCAAGATCTATTAAAAAAGTAATCTGCGACAATGTGGACATGAACCTATGAACTTCGGAGCCAGCAGATAAGAACATAGTCTCCCACGCTACCACAGCTCCCATTTTTCAGGACATTTATTGTCAATTAGAATGGGGGGGGTTGGGGGGGGGGGGGGGGGGGGGGGGTCTGATACTGACTATCCCACACTGAGTAAATCACATCAAAGAAAACTTTGGCCACACATTTGAATCAATCATATACAACTCTCCAAAAATCTTAGAGTAAATGGAATTGTAACCTGAAGGTCTATGTTCTATTATGAGATGAAATGCAGCAGCACAGGAAGTAGTAGTAGTAGTTTCTTTACAAAAAAATATGTTAAACTATCCCTCTTTAAACTTAGCATGACTGTTACTACTGGCAATAATCATACATGTAGCAGTGCTATAAAATTAAAGCATTAAGCACATAGTTTCATAACAAAAGTATACAAAATAATTAATCTTCAGTGTCATTTGGGTCAAACATAATTAATAAAATTAGATGTTGATACTAGTAGTTTAGTCACAATAAAAAAAAAAAGGTATTTATGCTAAGAGGAGCTTATATCTGTTTCTGCTGAAAGATTAATAATATTTATCGCTATCATTATGGCAATTGAACCAAAGCTATGTTCTCCGTAAGTGAATGAGTGAGTGAGTGAGTGAGTGAGGGAGGGAGGGAGGGACGGAGGGAGGGAGGAGACAGACAGAGAGAGAAAGACAGAGAGAGAGACAGAGACAGAGAGGGCAAGCATGGGTAAAAGGGGTGAGGACAGAGTCAAGGGAGATATACAGAGATAGGAGAGGGGAGGAGACAGAAGGAGGAGGAGATATAGGGAGAGAAGAGTGAGAGCAGCAGACAAAGAAAGAGGGAGATAAAAGAGAGAGAGTGAGTGAGAGGAAAATACAGAGGAAGGGGAAGATGAAGGGAGAGAGGAGTGTGAGAGGCAGTGAGGTAGTAAAACATAAACACATACCTGCATAAAGCTGAGGTATATAATTGTATGCATCATACATCTGAACACTTTCCAAAATGGCAGTGTACACGTCAGAGCTAGGAGCATAAATCTGGTAGAAATAAAAGCAGTAACATGCCAATCAGTAAGTAAGATGTGCCAGTATGCATCAATAATGAATCAAGAAAAACACATGTAGTCAGTTTTAAAAGATACATATACAGATATTTTACAGTACACGGTTAGCTGCGTACCCTTTACAGGACGTTGCAGAACCAACCCCAACAGCCCCTGGCTGTTGTGTGGTTTCTCTAGGCAAATTTACATCCAGTAGTTTGCCACTGGTTCTGGATCGTCGGCACCTGATACCACTGTCAAAACCAACACAAGGCATATGGCCCACAGCTGGGATCGAACCTGGTACCCCGGCATTACGAAGCGTTCGCATCGACTTAGCCATAAAGCCGACCTTTACAAACAACAGTGCTAACCCCTAATGCCTCGTGCTTGTCCTATCTGCGTGTGACAACAATAGTTCAATTTCTTACACTTAAGGCTGGTGACCTGAGAGCCAAGGTCATTTTATGAAGAAAAAAGTCCAGGGGATCCCAACCCACCACTGGTGGGAAATAGAGCAGGTTACCCACACAGACACAAATAGGTCAGGGCACCAGTGGCCTTCATTTTATTTCTGGTTTTCCAATTACAGAAAGGAGGAGGAAGAGGAGTTGGTGGGAGGTGGTGTAGAAGGCTGAGATGGTAAAGGTGAGACAGAGGAGGTGAGAAAGGTGAGAGAATAAAGTTTAAGAAAATAAAGTGGGGACTGAGACGGAGAGAAAGAAGGGAGAAAGAAATAAGATGAGATATAGAGGGAAGAAGGTAGCAGGAAGGGGTGCACCCCCTCCCCTAGGTGTCATCAATGTGGGAGGAGAAGGGGGGGGGGGGCGTGGGGGTGACGGCAAATGTGTTTTTAAAAGTACACATATATTTAATGTGTGTGAGGGAGGGAGGAGTGGTGGACATGAAATGTTCTGCACTAGGCAACACATAACCTTCTAGGCCAACTGAAGGTCTGGAGAAAGGGAGAGAGATAGAGAGGGAGAGAAAGTGGGGGCGGGGGGGGAGGGAGAGTGGCAAATACAAAGAGAAAGAGAAAGGAAGGCAGAGAGTGAGGAACAGGTAGGACAAAATGTGAGGGGGCAGGAAAAGAGATGGACAGAGATTAAGGCCCACTAAGAAAACAAACACATCAAAAGAAAATATCCATGTTCACACTGAACACCCCCCCCCCTCCCCCAACCATAACACAACTTCCTGTGTACTTGAGTTGCTAGGAAAAGATTTATTGAGCCGCACATTTACTAAACATTTAAACAAGAAATAAAATAGAAAAAAAAAGGGGGGGGGTGTGGGTGGGTGGGGAGACAGGAAATGAGAGAGTAAAAAGAAAGATAGAGAGAAAATGAAGAAGATGAAGATCAGAGGGGAGGGTTAGAGACAATGCAGGAGACAGGAAGGAAGGAGCAATAGGTAGAAGAGTGAAAGAGGGAGGGAGAGAGAGAGAAAGAGAGAGAGGGGTGAGACAAAGTGAAGAGGGAATCTCGGGGAATTACAATACTGATCGCCAAACACACTGTAAAGATAAAACCAGGCCAAAAATAGAACTGGAAAATCCAGCTGACCGTCACTTTGCTTAGCCCCCACCACGGCCGACTCTATTTATAAATACAACCGAACCGAGCCCCACCATCTCCCAATGTAATCCTTTCTAGAAACCATGGCCATAAAACTATTTATACTAGTAATTCTGCCAGACTAGGAAAAAAAGGCACATGCACACGCGAGATGGCAGCTGCTCCTTCCCGCCCCATGCTCCTGCTGTCGATATGTATTCATTGGCTGCAACACAGCCCGCCCTTCCCTGGCCTTCAACAAGCCATTTCGGCTGAAAATAGCCGATAATCAGCTGCCCTCACACCTGAAATGACCGTAAACGAAAGTAGCTAAAACTAGCCAAATGGCATAAAAAAAGCAAAATTGCCCACCAAAAATTGCCTAACTGCTGAAAAATCGCAGGATTTCCGACTATCTCATTGCGGCGGTCAAAATTCACGGCTTCTCAAGGAATGCCTTTTTCAAGCTGAAAATCACTGTTCCTGGTCGAAGAAAAAAATTCACGGTCAATTCAAGATTTCCCAGTCCACTACGAATCATGATACTGATTCTATTCTGGGCAATCACAAATTAATCAAAATTAGAGGTATACTGTATAAAAACCGGAAATGAATTCAAGCCTGTTTGATCAACAGTTAGCACTACTTTACGTGTCTTAGTACATTTTATGCATCTCATTACACTTTATGCTTTTTAGTACACTTTATGTGTCTTAATATACTTTATGCGTTTTAGCAGGCTGTTGGTACCACTGATGGCCCATTCAAAAATTTAATTTAAATTTTAAATAGTACTTGCATATCCTTTATAGAATGTTGCAAAACAACTCAAGCATCTGTTGGCTGGAGTTTTTTTACAAGAAAATGTCACATTCACTAGTTTGCCATTACCCTCTAAAAAAAAATGCTCAATGCTCTTACTACTGTCATAATCAGCACTAAGTGGTCTGCTGTCAAACTGTCTGTAAATTGAACCCGACATACCAGAATTGTGAAACTGCACTGACAACCCCTTAAGTCACAGACTCCGACAAATTACGCATAACAGTACAATAATCTGTGCAAAACTCACAAATGGCACCACGGAGGAATACAATTCCATGACAACATTGATGTGCTCCAGGGGTGTGATAAGTGTGAAGAGATCATCACTGAAATGGAAATCAAAATATCAACTGACATCCAGTTAACTATTGGGAGGGGGGGGGGGGGGGGGGGAGAGAGAATCAGTGAAAATTGTGGGGGGGGGGGGGAAACTCTATGTCAGAATAACAATCACAGAGAAAATATCAACTGAATAAACATGAAAACTGACACTGCCTTTCCGGCAAGCTATGAAATTTGTGGTGTGATGCGTTTTCTTCCAGCAGGAGGTCAGAATGCAGCCAGATTCATAGTTGATTGTGTCGTGTGTTCAGTGATAACATTATGAGTGACAGTTCTGTGAGGGATTGTTGAAGTTAATTCAGAGATAGGTGTGAAGGTGTGCATGATGAGGGTGGATAAGGATGACATTCATGTATGACAGATAAGCTCATTTAAAAAAAAAACAAAAAAACAAATGGGCCTAATCGTAATGGAAAAGTGCCTTTTCACAATTTCAGGTGTACACATGAAACAACCGATGACCAATTTCTGTTACAATTTGACTTTCTGCTTGATGAAAATGAAACAACACAGTCGGCAGGAAAAGCAATAACAGTGTCCATTTTTATTCGTTCACGATTCGTAAACGACCGAGAAAATGCGAGTGTAGGTTCATGTACAGTAGAGCTAAAAGGTTACTGAAAAATGCAAGCAATGAAAGGTATCGCTATCGCAGACAGCTCATTATTACCAGCACTGTGAGGTTGATTCTGGAATAGCTGCCGTAGACAAACTGATTGGCACCTTCCCCCCTGTGGGTTCAGGAGCTCCATTCTTGGAGATAAATAAAACAGACCCCCCCCCCCCCCCCCCTCCCTCCCTCATAGATATTATAAAAGGCAAACCAACAGTCTGCTGAGAGCAGAGAACCAACAGTCTGCATACAAATAAGCCAAATCCTTAAAATGAATGTGCATGCAAAATTCAAGTACCGAAACAAGACTAAAGTCAAGAAGTGGGCAAGCGATCAAAACAGCCTATAGAAGATAAACGCTAAGAAGAAAATAAGAAGAGTGGCACCCACAGAAAGAAGTAGAAAGATAGAAAAACACATTAGACAACAATGTCTTGTCTCCTACTTCTGTAGCCTCAACAGTTCCTTCTGTTTATTGTGTATTACAGACAAATGCATGAGTCACACTAGTTTAGCAAAGTTTGGTAAAACTTAAAGAAATGAAACATAAATACAATAAAATCATGTAACAATAATGTCAGAAAGTGATAATTACTAGTAAGAATACTGCAGCTGTCTGTGACCAAGGAAATTAACATGATTGCCCGTGAGAAGAAATCTGTGCAGCCTCAGTGCATATTTTGCGTCTGGGAAATGAACTCGAATCTGAAATGCAAAGACAAACATCACAAAACAGATATGCTTATGCTTAATTTATTTTTTCTTCTTCTGCATTCCCTCTTACAAGGGCAGTTGGCACATTGTGTTGTGGTTCACAGCCAGGCTGCAACATGTAGGCCTTTCATTTCAACACATCCTGTTTCAGGAGGTTCACTTTTCAAGACAGGCTTGGGGTCTACTCCCTCCACGCGAGTGGAGTCCAGGAACCCACTCTAGGGGTCGGCAATAACAACAATTTGAGTCTTCAGGGATACCCAGACATAAGCAGATATTTTGTAAAACTAAGAACGAAGACAAAACACCAGGAGGCAAAGAATTCCTGTTCAAAAATTCCTAAACTTACTTAAATTTATAAATCATGTAAATAAAAAAAGCAATCTTTTTAAAACTCAGAAAATCCAGTTATCAAAAAGGATTAAAAAGCATCAGCTTTGTTGATTATGAATCACACAGAAATGCTGTGATATACAGTTAACAAACATACACACACTAACTGCAACATCAAAGCGTCTTCTTTATTCTTTTCTCTTCTCCTGGAATACCCTACGGCGTCAAGGCAGGAAGATATTTCTAGAATGGGTTCTTCTATTTGCCTTGTATAAAGTACTTTTCAGTGTTTCTGATATTTCTGCAGTCCATCTTCAGCGTGGTCAACCTCTGGCTCTGTTACTGCTGTACCAGTATAAAACTGCTATCTGCGGTGCCCCGTCTGATGCCAATCTTGTTACGTGGCCAAAGGATTTGATTTGTTGTCTACCTATAAAGTTCAGTATTGGTTCTGTGCCAACTCTCCTCCTAATATCATCGTTCCTAAGTTGATCTTTTCTCGTCACACCTAGCATAGTACGTAGACATTTCATTTCTGTCATGACTATTTGCCTTCTGTGTTCTGAAGACAATGTCCTTGTTTGACATTGATAGCATAGTTTTGGTAAGACCAGAATTTCAAAGCAAATGGGACAAATCTCATGCAAGTTGAAATGTTTAAGTACCTAGGTACCCTGATAACATCAGATGGAAGATGTATTAAAGAATTTAAATGTAGAATAGCAAAAAGCAAAGGCAGCATTTTACAAAATGAAGAATATATTATGCAATCTTTCAGTGAATCATGAACAGCTGGCAAATTAGTGAAAAAGTATTTGGAAGCTGCAGATATGTGGCTTTATATGATGAGTATACCCTGGAAAGATAAAAAGCGTTATGAAGATGTCTTGAAAAAAAAAAAAAAAAAACCCTCATAGAGAACTGACTGCCCATATCAGAAACAGACAATTCTTTGGTCACATGATGAGAAGGAGAACACTGAAGTACATCGTGGTGGTAGGAAAGTTAGAGGAGGAGAGACGCAGAAGGAGACCGAGAGATAAGATGCCGGACAGTCTGATATCATGGCATGGAGGATCACTCTGTATTTGGAGTTGAGTAAAAGTACACAAGACAAAAGGTGGTGGATAGCATGACTACCAGCTCCACATGGCATGGCCTTAAGACACATTAACCTAAGGATATAAATAAATATAAAAACATTTTTAAAAAATTTAAAAAAATAAAAAAAATTGTATGATAATATTATTTCAAGCACTTACCGCTTTCATTGCCAGTCGGAAGAACATTACTGGAAATTAAAATGAAAAAAATCAAAAACACACCCCAAAAAAAAAAAAAAATCACTAAACATAATATGTTTTGCTAAATAACTGTATTTTTAGAGCCCTGGTAGTGTAGTGAACAAAGGCTTGATGGCAGATAGAAACTTGCTCTTCAGCAGAAAATTCTTTTTCTTTGTCCACTTCTGGACTTTGTTTTCTTCCAGAACTTGAGTTTTGCATGTATATCCATTTCACAGATCTGGCTCATTCGTATGCAGACTGTTGGTTCTTTGCCTCTCAGGCAAATGCACTCTGACTTAAAGGGAATCATGATAATTAGTTGCCTTTTACTACACACTTTTAATGAGGCAATGAGTCAATTTTTTTCCTTTTAAAATATGATTCAGAACCCATACGAGGAGAACTGATCAAAATGGAGTTATGAAATGGTGAAGAAACTAGAGACAACAGAAATGTGCTTTTTTGGATTAGGAGTCATGAAATGGTGAAAAAACTATACACAAAAGAAATGATATTTTTTGGACAAAAAAGCGTGAAATGGTAAAGAAAATAGAGATAAAAGAAATGTGCTTTTTAAACAAGGTGGTGTTAAATAGTAAAGAAACTAGCAGCAAAAGAAATGTGCTTTTTTGGAAAAGGAGGCGTGAAGTGGTGAATAAACTATACACAAAAGAAATGTGCTTTTGTGGACAAGGAGGCGTGAAATGGTGAAGAAAATAAAGATAACATAAATGTTCTTTTTAAACAAGAAAGTGTTAAATGGTAAAGAAACTAGCGGCAACAGAAATGTGCTTTTTTGGACAAGAAGGCATGAAATGGTGAACAAACAGCTATCCTCCGAATAATGGTCCCAAATTATCAAGGCCGAAAATATACCTTAACAGGGCATCAGCCACACGTAAATTAGGGACCTCTTTCCGGCGACTATACCGCCACCGTCGAGAGTATCCCCACGCCGCTACTCTACAACTCTTCAGTAAGCAAATATGCATACTGACAGGATTTTTCTTTCATGACGTTGCTAATTCTTGTTAGAGATTCTTTTCTTCATCACTGTACTACTTATTCCATGCAGTGTAATAGTCATATTTAGAAACAACAGCTACTATTTTTCCCCTTTTTCATATTCACAGGCTGTAAACTCAAGCTGAATGTTCTGGTCATTCATCCTCTTCTGGACTTAGGTCCTGATCCAGAACTTGAGCTTTTACAGATCTGGCTGATTTTTCTAGACTGCTGGCTCCTCATCTCTCTGGTCAGATGCACTTTGACTTCAAAGATAAACCCCTAATTAAACAAATTTTACAACATGTTCGTTTCCTTGGGGGGAGGGGGGGGGGTGTTGTCAACCGCCCCTCCCCCCACAGAGTGATACAATGAGGCATAGAAGCTATTGAAGGTCAATGCATTTCTTTAAAATGTCCTTTTTGAAAACTGTCTTTTAATGTCTTTGTTATAAAACTGCTTAGGGTGGTGCAGAGTGGGGAAGGGGGTCATTTTAAGCTTGAGGATGTAGGACTGCATGATTAGTGCAGTATTCATGAACTGTGTAGATAAGAAATTTATGTCTGGCCCTTATAGAAAAATGGTAATCACCTTGTCAAGTATCCAAACGCAAGTCTCCTTAATGAGAGCCAGGGTTCATTATGCTCGGCTAGATGCTTTTTAATAAAATATATGTAATGATTTAAATTGACATTAGTAAACACTTACCATCACTATCAGATGCACAACTAAACTCTTTGCCTTCAATTGCTTTAAGAATTCCTTCAAACAATGCTGGAGTTTTGGACCTTGTTTCTAAAAAAAAAGGAATAATATAAAATAATAAATTAGCTAGTAAATGTAGTGCATAATCAACAAATGCTTTTGTTGAATGCTGTAAATTATTAGGATATTCCAATTATATAACATGTTTCTCCTATCTAAAAAATACCATAAACAATTAAGAAAGGTTCCTGAAAGTGTTTTCTTTTGTTAATAAAATACTTTATTTATTGAAAATTACCCTGTTTAAAAATTCTGTTTTCATTTTCTTCTTCTTCTCCTTCTGAGTTCATGCTTAAAAGGGAAGTTGGCAGGTTGTTTTAAGGTTACAGCTAGGTTACAATATATCTTACTTTCAACCCAACAAATCTGATTTAAGTAAATCCCAAATTAGTTAGATTTTACAACATTCTTGTTAAGGAAACATCCTTAAATCTGCCGTGTGGCTTCTGGGTCCCTCCAACAAGCATGTCGTACAAGTCTACTAATTTTGGTGCTTCCTTCAAAGCCGGAGTGCATTTGCCTGCGAGCCGAGGAACCAACAGTCTTGCATACAAATAAGCCAGACCTGTAAAATGTATATGCACGCAAAATTCATGTTCTGAAACAAGATTAAAGTCCTGAGGTGGAGGAACAACATTAACTTTCCACCAAAATTTACAGCCGGTAAATGCAAAGAAGAAGACAGATTTTTCTTGAATAATTAATTTTCTTTTTTTCCTTCAGCTTCAAAAAAGAGATTCTTACTGTATGGGTTTTTTAGTCTCTTCTTCTTCATCATGTTCACCAGCTGTAAAATCAGGTGGAAAGTTCTGGTTGTTCGTCCACTTTTGGACTCTAGTCCTGTTCCAGAAAATGAGTGTTGCATACACATGCATTTCACAGGTCTGACTCATTTGCATGTAGACTGTTGGTTCTTTGCCTTTCAGGCAGATATACTCTGACTTCGAAGGATGGTTTCTGACTGATATCTTTTAATTGTTCTCTCCTTCCTAGAATTTAAATAAAGGAACACTCAAAGAAGTCAACAGAATCTAGAAAGACCACACTTAACTTACCTTTCTCACAGAAAAAGATTCTCAGATCACACTTACCTTTCTCATAGTAAAAGATTCTCAGCAATTCACTATAAGTCCCCAGGGTGGGTTCTAGCAGATAAATCACAAAATAAATTTAAGTATCAAATCGTGTCACAAAGAAGGAATACATGTATTACAATGTCAGGTTAATCAACAGAACTCATACAGCCCTCCTTGTGCTTTTCATAAATCAAATAGTATTACATATAAATTATTCTGGTCTTCACATCTAATATTTACACTACCTCATGTTTTACTCTAGCTTCTCTCATCTCATATTTATTCATCCCCCCCCCCATCCCCCCCGGCTCATAAGGGTTCCAGGTCCCCAATTTGAGGGAAAACAAGAACAGTCCCACTGCCTCACTAAAAAGCATGTCATAGGAGTTGACTAATTAAGTTATTCATTTGGAGTCAGAGAGCACCTATCTGAGAGGCTAGGAACCAAAAGTCTGCATATAGTTAGGCCAGTTCCTTAAAACGGGTGCACACACAAAAGTCAGGTCCTTAAACAAAGTCAAAGTCAAGAAAATGAAGAATAACCAGGACTTTCTTATGGGGTTTACAGCTAGCAAACACAAACAAACAAACAATCTATATAGATTTCCATCTCTATGTTAGTGCACAAAATTTCTAAACATTTACAAACAGTGAGAATGATGACACTTACAAACAAGATAACATCAACAGGTCATTGTTCTAGTCCTGCACAACCATATGGAGGCTGATATCACTTACCAAGAAGGAAAACCACATGTTTTCTTATGGGGTCCTTGTGTAAAGAAAAGAATAGTGACACTGTATCCTACCAATATACCCAGAGAAGCAGCTAAAAGTTGGGATGGGTGTAGGTTTGATACCTAATCTCTAAAAAGCATCAGCCACAAAAGCCAACTAAACAAAAAAACAAGTCTAAAAAGACTTGAACCAGTCTGTTAAGGACCCATGGGTAGCAGAATTAAGAATAGAGAAATTGATAAAATAACACTTACCAATCGAAGGACAGATAGCATGTAACCAACAGTGATGCCGATAAAATGAACAGAGATATTGGCAATATGAACAGGGTAACAGACAATACCAATATGGACACTAATAACGGCAACAGGGATAATGATAATACCTATAGTTAAGTTAGTTGTGAATCCCTTACATCAGGGCTATTCAACTAAGTTTACTCAGGGGCCAGTATTTGGGGATGGATGGTCACGGGCCAGGTGCTCAGTTCCAACACAGAAAGAGTGTTAATGCAATACAACTGGCAGGTGATCTGCAGGCCACTTGTTAGGCCTTTGCAGGCCAGTTTTGGCCCATGGGTACAGGATGCTGCAGAACCAACCCTAGCAAAACCAAATAGGGAATACTGATAATATGAATAGGGATAATGATAATACCAATAGGGAATACTGATAATACCAATAGCGATACTGATAATATAAAAAGGGATACTGATAATACCAATAGGGATACTGATAATACCAACATTTAAGGGATATTGATAATATGAAAAGGGATAATGATAATACAAACAGGGATAATGATAATACCAATAGGGATAATGATAATACCAGCAGGGATACTAATAATACCAATAGGAATACTGATAATACCAACAGGGATACTGATAAAACCAGCAGAGATATAGTGATAACACCAACATGGATACTGATAATATACATGGGGATACTGATAATACCAAAGTGATGCTCACAATACCACCAGAGATAGTGATAACATCAACAGGGATACTGAAAATACCAACAGGGATACTGAAAATACCAACAGGGATACAAACAATATCACTGGGATACTGATAATACCCATAGAGATACCAATAGGGATGCTCACAATACCATCAGAGATAGTGATAACATCAACAGGGAGACTGATAATACCAATAGGGATTTTGCTAATACCAATAGAGATAATAATACCAACAGGGATACTGATAATACCAACAGGGATACTAATAATACCAACAGGGATACTGACAATACCAATAGGGATACTGATAATACCAACAGGGATACTGATAATACCAACAGTGTTACAAATAACACCAATATGGATACTGACAATACCAACAGGGATAATGATAATACCAACAGTGCAAGCAACTAAGCCTGCAGTGATCATAATCAGACTTCATGAACGTGCTTCAAAAATTGCAACAGATATATCCATTCTAAATAAGCATGCAGCATTCAGAAGTCACATTTCACCTCCTTTACCAGTATATGCAAATCTGGTCATGCCAGTGTAAAAGATAATGAATGAGCAGATCAAATAGCAAGCAAAGCACTAACAGAAATGGGAAGAAGCACAGACAGAGCTGGTATAATCCAAGTCACATGGAGTAGTCTGGTGGACAATGATAAGTCTGACACTAACTTAAGCTATCTGCAAGTCAAGCCTGGCAAGCACATTTAAAATATGTGCCTGCCTGAAAAAGGCATGAACATTCATATGATGCCAATCATAACAAACCTTAACCAATAAGGATTAGATAAAACTTACCAATTCCACATGCCTTCATCTCTGACATTAACTGCAAAGAAAATTTCTTTGAGCCAATCCACCTGCTCAGCCTCCTGCAGTTTGCCAGTGCAGAATTGAAAGTCTCTGCATTAGGTCTCACATTGGCGGCCGCCATATCTCTAAGAATTGACTGGAATGTTCAAACAGACGGGGAATACAATTATTTGGACACATACAGTGGCGAGTCATAATCTGTTTAAATCACCAGTAATTACTGGAAACATGAGGGCTAACAGACTGAGATTGTTGGAATGTAGAGGGAGAATGGCAGATAATATAGAAACATAACTTGCCTATAAAAAAGACTTGACTAAGTTCAAACCATGAGGCATACCAAGAAGGAAGTAGACAGATAACATTCAGGCAGACCTACAAATACTTGGAGTCACCAAGTGCAAAGAGAAGGCCAATTATAAAGATGAATGGAGGCGGCTGATTACAGCAAAGAACTGCATAGGCTCTGAATGCTGAAAAAGAAGACAACAGGGTAGTGAGTCAACTAATCAAAAGGTTCTGAAGGTGACAGAGACAAATATCATGGAAACCTGTGAGGCCATAACAAGTGTATGATAAACAAATTAACATGTATTAACTGGCACTCACAGAAAGAATTAGAGACAGGAGGACACACTAGATAACATTCAAAAAAATAACAGCTATGGTTTTTCTTACTGTAGGTTACAGAGTGTCTTCATAGCATGAGGTATACTGAATCACTAATGTAGAGCTTTGAGAGAGGCTTAAGCAAGTTCCGCGGACCAAGAGTTGAAGAAAAGACTTTGGATAGGACACACGCTGAGAAAACCGGAGAACAAAATAACCAGAATGTATTTTCATTGGAACCCAAAGGAGCATAGGAATAAAGGAAGACCAAAAAGACACACGAAGAAGGAAGTTAGAGAGTAAATTTAAAAAAAGATGAGGAGGACATGGGGATAGCTGCATGTGATAACAAAGGATAGAACGACTTGGCGTAAGCTGGTTGAGTGCCTATGCTCAAATGGGGTTAGAAAGGCAGAAGAAGAGGAAGAGGTATAGTGAGGACCATGCTAAGCCTAATATTTTTATATCAACCCGTTCCTAATGAAGGAAGTGCTACCACACTGGGCCTCTATTTATATCTTTTTCATCATTGCTAACATATAAAGGCATTGGTTTTTTTGCATTCACTGAGTGTAAATTCCTGTATATCTGTCCATATCTGGACTCTGGCTTTGTTCCAGGACTATCAGATATTCACAAGTGATCTCCATTACTGCCAGCCTGCTGCTTTTCTGTCCATGGTATCCCATCTCAGTTTACACTCCCTCATTTCCAATTCTACAGTCGTTCTCCGGATTTCTTCAAGTTCTCCATGTCTCCATTTTCCATCTGCTATCCGAGCCATCTTTATCTTCTTCCTGTGAAAATATTTACCAGTGGTGAACAAATCATAAAATGAAATCAGACGAATGCTAGGAATAAAGCCAGTCTTACAGGTCATCAAAGAACAACAAATGAAATGGTTTGGACACCTAACAAGAATGCCCTGGTACTCTCTGCCACAGCGAGCCAAACTAAAACGTTACAACTGGTATAGAGCGAGTGGAAGACCTTGGAAAATATGGAGTGATGGCATTAAGAACAGCCTTACAGAAATGAACATCAGTCTTAATAGTGCTCTTGACAGAGAGCCCATCAATGAACATTACATCTCCCCCCGACACTTCGATGAGGTACAAGGTGGAAGAGAAGAAGAAGAAGGTGAACAAATTGTTTTTCTCCTCAAATATGAGCTTTCAACTTCTCTTGTGTCTGGGCCAAGACTTCTGGCAAGCTCTGTGTATTGACTGGAAAATTTGTCTCAGCCACGATTTTTATATTTTTAAATCATGCAATAGTAATTTCTGATACTAAGAGGAAAGAAACATTCTGTGACAGTGACATACCTCAATCCACTGTGTTACATCCTCCATAGCCTCTGAATCTAGCGAGGCGATACTCACTAGCATATTGTAAGTGTATACATCAGCTATGGGAAAAAGATACATTTTTAGAGACTTTGAAAACATTCTGTGTTTAAGAGAATGCAAAATAAATGATACAAATTAACAACACCCAATGTTAAGAAATTTCAGTGTAAAAACATATGACAGTAAAAAACATTTTTTAACATTATTTGTAAAGTACTACTTTTAAGCAACCTTAAAATATTCATGCAAAAACAACTATTATAAAAGTGATATATCTTAACATTTATAACGGGTAATGTGGTGTATATATATATATAAATATATATATATATTATATATATATATATATATATATATATATGTTTCTTCTGTTGTTATAGAATTCCACAATTTGGGTTTTGGGGCTCCATTTGTGGGTGGGGAATAAACTCACTGCTCCCCCAACAAGCATGTCATAAAATTAATCCACAGCTCAACATGGTATCCGCCCTTTAGAGGAAGAACTGTGGCAACAGGTAGTGGAACAGAAGAGGCAGACAAGAAGTAGCCATTCAGTTAGAAATCAAGAGAACATTTTGACAAAAATAAATACAAAATATTCTTATAACACAAGCTGTTATTTAAAAGGTATCAAATAATGAATGCGATAAAACAGAAAAGAAAAATAATTTCTCATTTTATTTTTATCATTCATGATGTAAAACTGTAAATGAATTTTGTACTAATATTAATTTTGTGCTAATACAACACAATAAATCCATTTTCTCTTGAAATAATTTTTAAATGAAATAATTGCTTTCATAACTCATCAAGACTGTTTTGTATCTTTTCCGAAAATTCGCAACTGAAAGTAAGCCAGAGATTTTCTCCTTTTCGTTTGTCCAAGTGAAGCAATTACGTTGTGCCTGCTTACAGCAAAGCTGTGATTTTTGTGGCTTTTTTAGCTGACAAATCCGGCTTCAACAAACATTTGTTAACCAGGTTAACTTCCCGGATGCTTTCATGGGACATGATGTAGCCTTATTTGTGTGGTGTTCTCTTTGTCCCTGTATCTACAGGTGCTGTCCCTGGAGAATCCACCCAGGGCAACCATGTGTAGACTGGTGGGCCCTCCAGGAAAGGCAGGGGCAGATCATGGGCATTTCATGCCATCCAAGGAGTCTTCCATAAATGCAGAGCCGACACATGATGCGTTGGTCCTGGGCTCATCCAAGGAATCAAGTCCCGCATATGACTGCTCAACCTGACATCCATATGTTGAGCTTTCCATTAAGCATCATCTGGAGATCAGCAGGGAGCAGCCTGCATGTCTGGACCTTCAATGACCACACAAATAAGAACATTCTTCTTCAACAAGATAGGCACATTTATTGTTGTTTCACCTGGACACTTAAAATGACAGTATGGAAAAAGCATGCATCAGGCATGTCTTCCCTTATTTGGTCCCGAGACACTGGTGAGTGGGGCCAATGGTAACAACATCGGAACCTTTCTGCTAGTTGGTAGGACTCTCAACGGCTGGACATTTAAGACTTTGCTGTTGTGTTATAGGACATGTACCAGACAGACATTTGAGCCCAATCAGCTAACTGACAGTGACTAACTATCGTAGTGTACCCCAACGCCATGACGATGACTGTAAAAAGACAGGACTTTACTGCGAAATACCGACGGCAGGAAATTTGCTTGTCTAAGCTGCGAGCAAATCTCTTGGTCTAGCCCTGAGTTTCAGCAGTTCAGTAGTACTTTCACTCAACAGATGTTTTAGCCAAGGGTTGTCATTTAGTAATATATTTGGCTAGCTGACTTTACTCATGTTCTGAATTAGTTTTGATAGACGTTGTTACCCATGCATTGGTAGGCTGATAAGAGCTAGAGGATTTCTGGGCACTTATTTCAAAGAATTTATTTTAAAGTCTTCTGCTTCTTCTTTTCACTACTCCTGGAATGCCTTGCGGCATCAGGGTAGGAAAAGATCTCTAGAATGGGCCCTTCTGTTCGCTTTGTATATAGTACTGTTCAGGGTTTCTGATAATTCTGCGGTCCATATTCTGCGCGGTTGACCTCTGGCTCTGCTACCACTGTATCTGAATAACATTCGTCTCTGTGGTGCCCTGTCAGATGCCAATCTTGTTACATGTCCAAACCATTAGATTTATTGTCTACCTTTAAAGTTCAGTATTGGTTCTGTGCTGACTCTTCCCCTGATATCATCGTTCGTAAGTTGATCTTTCCTCATTATGCCTAGCATAGTAGGTAAACATTTCATTTCTGTCACAACTATTTTCCTTTTGTCTTCTGTCTTCTTTTGTCTGACATTGGCAGCATAGCGTTGGTTAGAATATTAAAATTTAAGAATGTTTTAAAGTAACTGTATAAATCTTGCCAAGTCTCATAAAAACTTTTGAATGTAATTTGCCAGCTTTTTTTTTTAATTCATACCAGTAAAACCAGCTGACTTCATTCTGTTGAACATTTCCAAAGCCGATTTCTTGTCAAAACACTGTAGGGCAGAAATTATACACAAACTGTGTTTGAAAAATGAACATTGCTCAATGCACAAATTTAAAGCAGCTACAGTAAAACCTCTCTAACTCAAACTCATTTAAGAAAATTACTCAGTTAACATGAACACAATTTTGAGCCCAGCAGAAATGTATTTTTATTACTATTTGGTCCCCTGTTTGCAGTTTTTTTTTAAAATATAACATAAGGTCGATTTTTGATCACTCGGAATTCGTGTTAATGAGGTTTTACTGTAATTATATATATTTTACTGTATAAATATATATATATATATATATATATATATATATATATATATATATATATATATATATATATATATATATATATATATATATATATATATATAGATATATGTATATACCTTTTATGTATATACATACATACATATATATATATTATTATATATATATATATATATAAAATAAAGGACTAAGAAGTACAGTTTAAGCAACTATACTGCCATAAATTATTCAAATTTATTAAAATATGAAACTGTCAAATTAGAAATGATTCTAATGAGATAAAACATCAAGATTTAATATTTACAGAAATAAGGCATCCTTAAAGAATCTATTTACATTTGTCTTCAGGTGTATATCTATTTTTTCAATCATGCTTGGCCTATTTTTAGAATATTTTTCTATTGTGAGAACTGACCAGTTTGGATGAATGTGTATACATGTTTGCACGCAAGAGTGAGTGAGTGAGTGCGAGTGTGTGCGTGTGAGAGAGAGAGAGAGAGAGGGAGAGAGAGAGAGAGATAGTATATATCTGTGTATACTTCTTTCTGTGTATGTCATGCTCGCACATATGGGCAAGCATGCATTAAAACACAGAGTACTTGTTAGGGTATAATCATCAGTGCATACTGCATGATCTTATTTCCTACCTGTATATCTCAGGGGTGGGGAGCTGTGGTAGCTAAGTGGCTAGATGCTAGCCTGCTGCCCAGAAAATCTTGGCTTCATACCCACATCGAGACAGATTTATTTCACAACTGACCCTGGCTTGAAGTTCCATACAGGCAAAATTGGGCACCTAGTAATGTCCTGGGAAGTCAAGGCAGCTGGCAGGATGTTGACCACATTACCCAACCAGTGCCAAGTGATTTATACAAATATGAGTAACCTCCCAATAAAAAGGATCAGATTTTTAATTTTCTACTTTAAAATAAAAAAAAATTATGTAGGGTATATTTCCCTTTTGAAAAATGTACAGCACATTTCAGATTACATTTATAAACAACAAAATACTCACGGCTGCCATTCCTCTGATCATACTGCAGTAAGCAGTGGCAGTTTTATTTGGCAAAGAATTGAAAACCTCTTCCGCTATATCCATATTCCTGCAATGCAAAGAATATATGTTTATTACCGCCACCCATGGTCAAGAGCTTGCATTGCACTGCAACATGGTGGACAACTGACCTCCAGGCAGAACTCTTATGTCTTGTGGTGTGTACTCGGGAAGTCACAGAAAATGGTCAATATGACTTTAATGTTGCAAGTCACAGAAAATGGTCAATATGACTTTAATGTTGCTATACACCTAGTCTTGACAGTGATGAATTAGATCACTGCTTGGTTCCCCCATTAGCTAACATCTGCAGACCAGTTTTATTTTTGAAAGTCTGCCTTAAGCATTTTGATAATCTTACTGAAAACAGGGCCATGAACCCAAGGGAATTCCCATAAACTTTTTTCTTCTAAATACAACCACTAATAAATCCCTAATACATTTATTTTACAAATAATTAAAAAATGTATTTATGTACATTTTAATTTTTGAAACACATAAAGATAAATAAAGAGGTAATCAACAAACAGGAACAGATAAAGAATTAATGGAAATGTATTCTTCGGGCCTATAAAAACCAACAATAACTGGGTGAACCATGTCATAACCCCATGACCTTTATCACTGAGGCTTATGGAAAAATCTGCTTGGTTTTTAAAAAGCCATTGGGGTCATAAGGAAACCTCTTAAATACTATTTTTTGTCACTATATTTGCATCCTGGTCTGTTAAACTGTGAAGATGCACACACACAAAAACAATGGATATTAACTATGCTTTTCGAGAACAGGTAACCGAAGACAGGGCGAAATATCAACACTGATGGGACTGTGTCACAACTGGAGGTGATCAAATTGAATCTTCTCGGGACGACAGGTCTAATCTATAAATCTGTGCTATTTTTTTTTAAAGCGGTAAAGATCTGCACAGCCAGGCACAAAAAACAATCAGACACACGAGAAGTCTTGCCAACGAGCATAGGTCTGGCATTATTAACCACGGATGTTGATGATCAGGATGTAGGTACTTTTACTTACTGCCAAGTGGATACTGGGAAAGGTGCATTCTTGTTGAGTGGAGCCAGATTCACGTAAGTACTCAGATCACTAACTGGTTGTGGACTCTTACATTTGAAGACAAGCAGCAGGTCTAGAAGTTTTTCTTGAGTTTCTTGACTGGGGATTTTATCTGCAAGTTACACAAAATAAAAAAAATTTGTTTAAACAAAAACAAATGTTTTTCTAAAAACCATTTGCATATCATTACCTAAAACACACAAAATATTTGAATTTTCACTCTAATGATGACAAAATAACATTACTTAAGAAGAATTTTATGTCAAAACAATAACAATTCAGACTTATAACTTCTTTTAATCCATGCTATATGGTGTTGATCATCTTGTATGTCTACAAATTCGGCCTGATCTTGGTAAGATATTTTCTTCTTCGCATTCAGCTGTAAACTCTGGCAGAAAGTTATGATCACCCTTCCACTTCTGGACTCCAGTCCTGTTCCAAAACCTGAGTGTTGTATGCACATCTGTTTCACAGATCTGACTCAAGTGTATGCAGACTGTTGGTTCTGTGCCTCATGGGTTCATTTCACTGCGGTGCCGTTCAGTTAAGTAGTGCAATTTTCACGGAGATACTCAGGGGTAGTTGAAGCTACAGAGGTCATGCTCTGAGTGACACTCTCGGCAGGCAGCTAGCTGTTCTGTGGAGAAAAACTGAGTCATATGAGATAAAACTCGGTGCAATGAAGTCGATCCTCTCATCTTTAACCTTTTTCAGACTAGCATTTCAAAATGCAGAAAGTGAAAACAACATCTACAGATGTTTTTTCTCATTACAATATCACTGTTTAGCCGCCGTCTCTCTCATCCTACTCTGAGTTCGACAAGTTTTCTGATTAGTCTAATAACAGGTGCTCTTCTGGCTTGTTTTGAAAATAACTTTAACACACTTTTTATCATGTAAAATATTCTCAGCATTGTTCTGAACACCATATCACTGCAATCTCTAAGCACGCCACATTCATTTAGCCGTTATCCATGACTCACTTTCATACATCAAAATTGGTTGCATATGCATGGCTTTATCATGATCAAGACAAAAACTTCATTCATGAGGTCAAAGCACATCATCCAAACATGCAACATCTAGAACCTGAAAAACTGCACTGTTACCCACTTGACAGAGGTAAGCTGTCATTTTGTTTAGATAGTGAGAGGTATATAGTTACAAGTGCACTGTAGAATAAAAAGAGTGAATACTGAATTCTCCCTTCAACCCGTTTCCTAGTTTGTGCCGCACTCTTTGTCTGATGACAAAAAACATGTGCATGTTATGTAAGCAGTCTACTCAGTTATTTTTTTGCTAATGAGGGAAAAAAAAATGATTGTTGTTTTAGTAGCAATAGTAACACAGTGGTAAGACACTTACCAGTTGACCCAAAGTCACAGATTTACATTCGCACCTGGCAAATTTAATAAACTAGAATTTTAAAAAAGAAATGGCCCTGGCTCCTTGGCTGACCCAGTTTACAATGGGAATAGAAAAAACCAACTCCAGCATTTTTGTTGTTGTTGGCTGTTGTGGTTTTTATAGGCACATTTTACCTTCAGTAGTTTGCAACTGATTTCTGAATGGTCAGCTTTTAGTACCACTGTCAACAAAATTGCAAGACAAAACACTCACAGCTGGGATCGAACTCGGTACTCCGGCATTACGAAGCGCGTTTGCAACGCCTAAGCCACAGATGCGGACTCAGCATCATTACAAACAATATAAAATGGCTTCTACTTACTGTCATTCATCAATGTTTTATAAATACTGATAGCATCTTCAACAGCAAATTTGTCAATTCTCTCAAGCAAGGCCTCTTCACTGGGGTCTGTAAATTTGTATCCTAAGTTTGCATCCCTGTAGGACTGTAAAAATCACAAATATATCTGCATTATAAAAAAAAAAAAATCTGACAGGAATAAATCTGACCGGAATTATATACAATGATCTTTCTCTCTATAAATAATGAAATTAAAAGGTATATTCAACATCCTCCAGAGAAAAACCAAGCAAAAACACATCTACCACCGAATCTCAAACCAGGTGAACAGTCATCACAGACTATGTGAATAATATATGTTAGGTTCCTCATGTCGGTTTCAGGGCCCCATTGTGAGGAAAACAACAGCAGGCCCACTGCCTCTCCAACAAGCATGTCATAAGAGTCGACTAACTGGAGGGCTACTTTTGAAATCTGAGTGCATCTGCATACAATTAAGTCAGATCTTTTGAACGGATTAGATTCTAGAAAGAGACCAAAGTCCGGAGGTGGAGAAACAATCAGAACTTTCCTCTGGAGTTTACAGCCAGTGAACGTGAAGAAGAAGAAGAAGAAGAAGAAGAAGATATATGTAAGGTAAATGAATGAAATTTGTAACTACTTACTCAGCAATCATTGTTTGCTATACACCTATTTCAACATGGATCATTAACAGGACAGTGTGCTCGAGGTCTTCACAAATGCTTCACAGCGTGTTTTGTGAAGTTATTCGTCTGGGCCAGATTTTCTTTCTATAACTGGCAAATCTAAACCAGGGCCATTCAACTGTGTGTGCTCAGGGCCATTCAACTGTGTGTGCTCAGGGCCATTCAACTGTGTGTGCCCAGGGCCATTCAACTGTGTGTGCTCAGGGCCATTCAACTGTGTGTGCTCAGGGCCATTCAACTGTGTGTGTGCTCAGGGCCATTCAACTGTGTGTGCTCAGGGCCATTCAACTGTGTGTGCTCAGGGCCATTCAACTGTGTGTGTGTGCTCAGGGCCATTCAACTGTGTGTGCTCAGGGCCATTCAACTGTGTGTGCTCAGGGCCATTCAACTGTGTGTGTGCTCAGGGCCATTCAACTGTGTGTGCTCAGGGCCATTCAACTGTGTTTGCTCAGGGCCATTCAACTGTGTGTGTGCTCAGGGCCATTCAACTGTGTGTGCTCAGGGCCATTCAACTGTGTGTGCTCAGGGCCATTCAACTGTGTGTGCTCAGGGCCATTCAACTGTGTGTGCTCAGGGCCATTCAACTGTGTGTGCTCAGGTCCAACATTTTGAAAACAGGGATCAATGCAGGCCCCAGCATAAAAAGATTACTAATGTCAATATAAGTAGCAGGTGATCCGAGGGTCACTTGCTCGGCCTCTGTGGGCCAGATCTGGCTCCCCAGCTGAATAGCTCTGACCTAAGCAATCTTCTAAGACATACTGTGGAGTTTTCTTTGGTACATCACATCTGCACATAGAAGAGCTAGTGAGACCAACAGAGTGCAGGTGTGCTCTAAGTTAACAGCGCTCCAGTGTGAATCTGAAAATTATAGTCTGCAAGTTTCTGCCAAAGCTATTTATGCTGACATGCTATAAACTGTAATCTATCTTTTACCAAGAGTAACAATAAATATATTAAAACAGGAAGAAATTTTAAAAGTTGGTCTACCAGAGGGGTTTCCATGTGTAAGTTTCCAGGACCCCATTGGGGGAGGAGGGGAGGAGGAAGAAGAAACAATATACTGCTCCTTAAGAAGCATGCTGTAAAAAAGTGACTGACTAAAGGAATTGCTGAAGTCGAATGTATTGAGCAGAAAGGTGGAGATATTACAGTGGAGCTGTAAACCAAAAACAGTGTGCCAACTGCCCTTTTAAGGGTGAATGTAGTAGTAGAAGACGAAAAGATAAAGCCATGGGGATTTATCAAGCCTTGTAAAATGGGTACCAGAGATGTCCCAGGGAAAGAAAGACCTCAATAAGAGGAAAAGATCACCGCAGAATATTTTAACATCACCGTGTAAATGTGAATGATTGCCGCACAAAGCAATACGAGTAACCTATGGGTTGAAACCGATCGACAAAATGTAACAATCTTGGCAGAAAGTCGTCTTCTTCTTAGTGTTCACCGGCAGTAAACTCTGGTGGAGAGTTCTGGTTGTTTGTCCACTTCTTGACTTTGGTCTTGTTCCATAACTTCAGTTTTGTGTGTATATCCATTTTTACAGATTTGGCTTAATTGTATGCAGACTGGGTTCTTCAACTCTCAGGCAGAGCACTCGAACTTCACAGGAAATACCCCCTAATTAGCACTTTTTACAACATGCCTGTTAAAGGCAGTAGGTCTGCCCCCCTACCCCAAAGGGAACCTCAAAACCCCCACAGCTGAAAATTAAATGAATGAATGAAACAATCAATCAAAATTTGACATCATTCGGGACTTTACCCCATGTGCTCCGTCCCCTTCTTCAGTAACCAACGAACAGCTGACATGCTAATAGTACCAGCTGTATCCTGATTAAAAGTCCACCTCTCTTTCTCCATCAATGTTTAATATCTTCCAAAACCTCTTCACCCCCCCCACTGAATTAGTTTTTCAGTGTATGGATTTCCCATCTGTTCTTCCCCACTGTCCATTTGATCCCATAAAGCCCTCACTACACCCGCTGTATCATATAGTAGCTCATTGCCCAGACCAGCGGCAGCAGCTAATCTATTAGGTTGCTCGTTAGCTCAAACACCTTAATATCCTGGACAGAAAATCCATGAGATGCTCATGATTTGGGTCTCATCAAATGATGCAAGCCACTCTGCGCGCAAGAAACCAGTTTCAATTTTCCAAAGCTTGCTACATAAATCTGTTACAATGACAACATATCGGACTGTTCTGCCCCCACCTCCATTCTCATACTGGATGTACTGACACTGTACACAAAGTTCTCTGTTTCAAGCAGTGTCCGTTCCCCTTTGTAATAAAACCCCACCCACTCTTCTAACTTCTCACTACCATTTGTGTATATTATGATGTTACCTGACTAAATTGTCACTGACCAGCTGTTGCATCGCCGACTCTTGTGCTATTATATCCCTTGTGTTGGCTTCAGGGCTCCACTGTGTAGAAAACTAGAATAGACCGACTGCCTCCCCAACAAGCATATTGTAAGAGTCGACTAATTGGGGGTTTTCTTTGAAGTCGGAGTGCAACTGCCTAAGATGCAAGGAACCAACAATCAGCATACAAATAAGTTAGATCTGTAAAATGGATGTGCACGCAACACTCAGGTTTTGGAACAAGACCTAAGTCCAGAGGTGGACAAACAACCGGAATTTTTTATCAGAGTTTACAATTGGTGAAAACAAAGAAGAAGAAGATGCTATTTTATGAGGCATAAAATCGGCCGGAACTCAGAAGGTTGATGACATTAGCAGTACTTGCATCAATGACAACTTACATCAGGAAGAGGTTCATCCCAAATTTGTGTGAAATAATCAGGATACATTGAAACCATCATCTGGGCAGTTTTACGGCCACTATCCATCGAAGCCAACAATTGTTTCTGAAAACAAGAAACCAAAATTATGGTTACTCTAATCTAGGTTATTCTAATTTAAACATATGGTCTGGCCTTATCTACTGCCCTTCATCCGCCCAATGGAGGATAGACCTTTAACCAATTCATGCTAAGTGGCTCCATCCTTTGCTACAGCACTCTCTGTGTGCCATTTTTATGTGCCTTCATTCCTTTGATATTACAGGTTCCAGTGAAAGGTCCTTTTGGTTACATGTTATCTAGTTTTCTCAGTGAGTGTCATTTTTCAATGCCAGCATCTGCTACTCACCTCTTGATTCACTAGAAATGCATTAAGTTCTCTCTAAAGCTCCACATTAGTGATTTGGTCATACCATTGAATTCCCTTTATTTTGGACATGAACCAACCAGTTAAAAAACATCATACAGAATTAGTGCCAAGAAACTGTTTGCATGGTTAATGTTTCGTAACTACTGTCCTTCAACTCCTAAGACAGCAGAGGCATACACTTAGTAGTATAGCACAGGAGGATGATGGGATATACTGAAACCAACTACCACCACAGCAGGTAATATAGAGAAAATGTATGTACTTTTTCTTCATAAATACCTTTCCCTGTGTGAGCCAAGTATAGGCTTCACACTGACCAAGAGATACTTTTCTCCTTGCAGGGAGGCAAACAGAATGTAGATCATATTATGAACACTTCCAATGTACACTATACTACCAATTATTGTTAACTCAATAATAGTATCTAAAGGGGTGCAGTCTTTGTGTGTTGGACCGGACAATGTGTGGTATAAAATTTAACATTTTCATTGCACATAGTATAGTAAAGGAGAACTTCTTCTTTTCTATGTTCACTGGCTGTCAGCTCTGGTGAAAAGTTCTGGTTGTTCAACCAGACTTCTGTATTGTTACAGAACTTGAGCTCTGTGTGCACATCCATTATATAGATCTGGCTTATTTGTGTGCAGACTGTCTGTTCCTTGCCTCTCAGGCAAATGCATTACAACTTTGAAGAAAGGAAATACCCTTAATTAGTCGCCTTGTACAACATGTTTATTAGCTGCCCAGTGGGTCTATTCCCCCCTCTCTCTAAAAATGGGGCCCTGGTACCCACATGGAAAGAGGCAAATACATAAATGAAGATAGCCTTAGGTTTCACTTCAATCTGCTAGGTTATTTTAACTTAAATGGTCATCATATTACACTTTCACGTAGTTACTTAAAGTGTCATTCTCCTCTTCTGTATGTTGTATTTTTTATTGTTTATTTTCTTGTTGCTGTTTGCTGGATGAAGGCTGTCATAGTACTATGTTTTCTGCGACTGAATTCTTGTAAACCTGACCTTCTACACTTCATGTTTTCTAAATTGCAAACATTTTTATAACTTTATCTTATTTTGTTAAGCTCTTTATAATAATCATATAGTTTGTTCTCAGAAACTCTAGAAACGAGTGTTGAAAATTTGTAACTGACAAATGAACAGACCCTTTTTTTTATATAAGCTTATCTGGTCTTAAAAAGAATGTTTATTGTAAAGATTTTTTTTTTCTATTTTATTTGTTCTTGATACCATGGCTACTTTGTCAACAACCCTTAAATGGGTAGCAGGTGAAGTTCTAGAAAGGCAGGTGATTGAATGTTGACCACATCAATCGCTGAGTGCCAACTGGTCTATAAAATACAGGACTAGCCCTACATGCCCAATACACCTGAAGACCAGGAAAATGGTCCTTTATTTTTTCTAGATATCAAATTCAGAATTCTTAAATTCCATGCCTACTCTTCTGTTATGTGCTTTATGTTTAAAAACTTGCTTTGGTTGATATTGTCCTGAGATCCATATGAATATCCTGTTATCGAGAGGAAGGATGTGAAACCTACATACTTAAAACTGCCAATACTGTCTGTGTTTACCACTTTCAGTGTAGGCGGGGAGTTTTTGAGCCTGAGGGTACATATAGGGCCGCATGGCTGGTACTGTCGCACAGACTGCAAGTTCGGATTTTTGCCACCGATTACAAAAAAAAAAAAAAACCCCCATCCTTACTGAGGACTGAAACTTGTATCTCCCGCATAACAGCCCTGCGTTCTTAACTATTTGGCCAGCTCTTCCTGAACCTACCTTCTCGCATCTTTAAATACAGTAACAGTTAGCAGTAATGTAACTACCCCTGCAAAATACTATAATAATCTCTTCATATTAGCTTACCTTACTCCTGTCAGAGCTGACATACAGGTAAGGATCATCAATGGACTTGTACACTGGCTGGTTAACATTCTGATTTTTTTTTAAAAACAAAACAAGAACAAAAGTTTTTGGATTGTAACTGTTACTTTATGTAAACAAATAAAGAAAGACAGACAGACCAACAGATAAAATAAAATAGAGAAATTGGCCTTACATGGAAAAGAAAAAGAAGTAACCGTGTTAAAGAAGGATTAATAATCATTGTAAGAATATAAATATATCTTTTTTTTAATCAGCTCGTGCAAATGTTTTTCACAATAAATGCTGTAACTTTCCTTGCCATTCATGTCTTCTTAGGTCGCTGGACCTCTTTTATGTGGCGGGGTGTTATGATATAGCTTGGTTTGGCATTCGCTCAGCGTATGCAATGTTTGTGGGAGGTTGTGTTGTTGTGAATCTATTTCAGGCGCCACAGGTGCTTTTGTAAAGTAAGAAGTACTGCGGGGGAAGTGCCGCAGGCACGACGATTCTTGGCTATCGAAACTGGGATATTTCTGTGTTTGTTGGCCGTGGCTTTCCCCCGAGAGAAAGAAGGCAGTTACAAGAAGAGTAGGAATAAAAAAATGCTGCTGTTTCTACACTCCCGAACTGTTGCGCAGGTAGCAGAACATGAAAATAATCACTCAAGCGAGCGTGAGAGGACAAGAAAAGAGGCAATGGTTACACTATTCACAATAAGGAAAACATGACTCTCCACAACATAGGAGAGGTCCAGCGAACTAAGTAGGCATGAATGGCAAGGGAAGTTACTCTAATCCTGGGCCTGGAAAGGTGAACAGCACCAAATGCACCAACACAGAGTGATTCATTGAGCTTGTTCTATTCTCATAAAAGTTAAAGATGAGAGGATCAAATTAACTGCACGAGGTTATGGCTCTGTCTCCCTATGCAGCCTGACTAGCAGACTGCCAAAAGGGTCACTCAAACTTTATAGTGCCAGCGACATATCCCCAGGGATCTCTGTATAACTTGCACTCATGAACTAAACGGCCACAGATTCTAATCCACACTCAGGAATTTTTTTTTTCCACTGAGCAGCTTAAACAGGTTTCTGAAAATGCCATGCAAAGTAAAGGTGGCTGCAGTGATAACCACATCACTCACTGAGCACAAAGTGATCTAATAAAAATCTTTTTCAAAATGTGGCACTAGCATTATATGGCCACAACACCTCTTCTTCTTCTTCTCTTCCACCTTGTACCTCAGCAAAGTGTCGGGGGGAGATGTAATGTTCGTTGATGAGCTCTGTCAAGAGCACTATTAAGACTGATGTTCATTTCTGTAAGGCTGTTCTTAATGCCGTCACTCCATATTTTCCGAGGTCTTCCACTCACTCTATACCCGTTGTGACGTTTTAGTGTGGCTCGCTGTGGCGGATAGTACCAGGGCATTCTTGTTAGGTGTCCAAACCACTTCATTTGTTGTTCACTTCATTTGTTGCCACAACACCTCAAAGTATAGAAATATTGTTTTCACATGTAGCAGCCTGCCTCATCTGTGGACAGGTTCAAGAATAGATAAGCCATACTTACATTATTGACTGTGGATGCTAAGGCTTCTAGGATAGCTGTAGGGCTTCTGAAACAGAATCAATCAACATAAAATGTAAACTTATAAAATATAGCTACATCTGTTTAGTGTGTGTGTGCATGCATGTGTGTCTGCACACGTGGGAGAAAAAGGGGCAGGTGGTTGAATTACAAATTGCTTTTCAAGTATATTTCAGTAAATGTCTTGTGAGCGGTGGGAGTAGATGCTGGTGATCGTGACTCTCCAATCCTGTCATATTGTATGCATACACATCCGTTTTACAGATCTGGCTGATTTGTATGCAGACTGTTGGTTCTTTGCTCTCAGGTAGAAGCACTTCGATTTTGAAGGAAACATCCTTAATTAGTCACCTCCTATCACAAGCTTGTGAGGGGGGGGGGGGGCAATCTGTCTATTCCTTTTTTTTTCCAAAATGGAGCCTCAGAACCCACATAGCAACGACATAAGGATAATTTATCTAGTCCACCATTTCTGTTGATATGTCCCATACATTTCATCTGGCTTTTCCTTGCGATTTTGATGACAGATTGATCTTGTATCACTGAATACCCTATTATTACTTTTTAAATAGCAATGCCCCTCCTGTCTTCTTTCTCACCACTTCCTTACACTGACTGAAAAGGTTTCCATTCAACGCCCAGTCAAGCGGGTAGTTAAAAACACAGGATGTCTAAACAGCAAAGAGACACTTGGAGCATAAATAAGGAAGTGAAGAAGAAGGGAAGGAACCACAACCATTGTGTACATACAAAAATATACATATCGTTACTCTAAAAGAAACCCTTCAAGTGAAAAAAAAAAATGAAATGATCATAGATATTGCAAGTTTCCAGTAATTTAGTAAACAATTATGAAAATTAAAGCAACCACAACAAAATCATCACTGTCAATTTTCTGCTAGTGGTCATGGGCACTCATGTTTGTTCCAATCTTGCAAACTTCTATAGAATGTTTCATCTAGTGTACTGACATGTTTCCCTTATAAAAGACTGTTTGCAATCTTCTTGCGCAAGACTGTTTGCAATCTTCTTGCGCTGTTTCACCCCCAGCCCCCCTTTTTTTCCTCTGAATAAATCTTTATTACAAAATATCTTTAAAAAATATATATATTGGGGGAACCCAAACATTGTCAACATAAGAATCAGTGTATTATCCTTTACAAGCATACCCCCCCCCCCCCCCCCCAAGTGAATAAATAAATGTATTACCTTTCAATCTTGTCTGGTATTTTTATTTCTTTTATATCACCTACTGAAGATATATGGAAAAAACAAAATAGATTATTCAAACTTTAAAAAGGTTTAATTCACTAAATACTAATTCTGTGGCCCCATTGTGGGGGGTAAGGGGGGAGGGGGGATAGAGCCACTGCCCCTTAACAAGCATGTCATAAGAATTGACTAATTAAGGATTCTCCCTTCGAAGTCGACTGCATCTGCTGAAAAGCAAAGAACCAACAGTCTGCATACAAATAGGTGAGATCATAAAACAGATATGAATACAAGTCTCAAGTTCTGGAATTAGACTAAAAGTCCAGAAGTGGATAAACAACCAGAACTTTGTGCTGGAGTTCACAGCTAGTGAAATAAACAAGAAAAGGACTAAACACCAACAAAATATTATGAGCTCAAGAAGGGGGAAAAGGAAAAAACGCACAACCACTCAAACAAGTGTTTCAACTGAAGTCTATATTAACAACCAGTTTCTGTTTTTTACCCTTCTGGATTGTCAAGCCTGACTGAATCACACTGCCCATGTGGGTTCTAGAGTCCTATTGTGGGGAAAACAAGAACTGACTCACCGCCTTCTTAACAAGCATGATGTAGGAGTCGACTAATTGGGGGCTTCCTTCGAAGGTGAAGTTCATCTGCCCAAGCGGCAAGGAAGCAAATGCAAACAAATTAGGCAGTAAAATGGATGTAAATGCAAAACTCAGGCCCTGGCACAAAGCCACCAAAGTCCAAATGGACGGCCAGCCAGGACTTTCCACCAGAGCTTACAGCCGTTGAACAAAAAAGAAGACCGTATCACCCTAATTTTTTAACAGTTTTGGATTGTCAAGCCTGACTGCAATCACCCCTATTTTAACACTCTAGGGTTGTCAAGTTGGACTGCAAACACCTGTTTTTAACTTTTCTGAATCGTCAAGCTTGACTGCAATCCCCATTGTTTTTAACACTTTTTATACTAGTTGGCTGAACGGTTGCAGCTTCCTCTGAAAAACCATGTTCACTCCTAAGCGTGATATACTGGCCCTGAGAAAATAAAAGAGACCTGTATCTATTGAGCAGAGTCAGGTCGGTGTAAAGACTTTTCTTCTTATTCACTACTAAAGTATCATCTCCATGGGGACTATAAGAAAGCTCTCTTTCCCTTCATCAAGCAATGTGTAAAGTGGTCCGGAACTTTGAATTTGCAGACAGTCATACTACGAGATGTAATCAAGCTGATTTAGCATTGATGAGATGGACTGGTTTGCATTTTTTAGTAAGACTCAGATCAGAAGAATATCATGAAGTTTTTTGCCTAGGACATTGGGGTGTGCATGGTAATGAGCAGGTTGATAGATTAGCTGCTGCTGCCCCCCTGGGCAGTGAGCTACTTTATAATAAAATGGATATGATGAGGGTTCTCTGGGATTAAGTCAACAGTGCAAAAGAATAGAGTATCCATAGTTAAAGAGGCTACGACTGAGAAGAATAAAAAACATATATCAACGTCGATGAACAATTTACCTTTGTCAGTTAAAGTGTCAGGCTGAACCTTGCTCTCATAATAAACCTTTAAGCGACTTGGTTTATCATAAACATACCAGGTGTTTCCACAACACACCTGACAAGTTGAAAATGCCCTTTAAAAAAGAATAATGCAAAAAAAAAGTTTTAACAATGGAAACTATAGCAGTATAACACTGATATATTGAGAATTATCTTAAAAACTAATGCAAAAAAGTTTTAACGATGGAAAACATAGAAGTGATAAGTTCAAAATTACCTTAAACAATTTTTTGCAAAAAAGTTTTCACCAAGAAAACTACATTAGTATAGTATTGAAATGTTAAAAATGATCGTAGAAAATAATGCAAAAAAAAGTTTTCACCATAGAAACTGCAGCACTGTAAAGTTGTATATGGAAATTTAAACAGAGAAAAATATGAAATACTGTGTTCACTATTCTTATAAATATTAAACTTCTATTACATAGTTACTTTAATTTGCTTGTAATATAAATTAGCAACAATATAATAATTTTGCCAAAATTAAAAAATCTGGTAGAATCAAATGGAATCCATTCTCTGAAACCTGTCTTGAATCCGCTGTTCATCATCATCAATCAGCAGGTTTTTTTTTTACAGAACACCACTCTTTTCATTGCATTTTTGAAAGTCTTTCTCGTTCTAGCGCCTATTCTCCAACACTATGTGCTTTCACAGTCAATGCATCTTCAATATCTTCTTCTTCTTCGATTTCACCAGCTTTAAACTCCGGCCGAAAGTTCTGGTTGTTTGTCTACTTCTGGACTCCAGTCATGTTCCAGAAACTGAGTGTTGCGTGTACATTCGTTTCACAGGTTCCTCACCTCTCAGGCAAATGTACTCCGACTTTGAAGGAAGCTCCTAACTAGTCGACCTTAACAACATGCTTTTGGGCAGGCAGTGGGTCTATTCTTGTTTTCCCCACAATGGGGCCCAGGAACTTACCTGGGGAATCTTCAATATCACGCATCCATCTTCGCTGCGGTTGACCTGTGGCTCTTCTTCCAGATATTGTACTCTCCATAATTTTTTTTTTAACAGGCCACCATGCCGTTTAACATGGGCAAATAACTTCAGTTTAGGTCACAAGGCTGTTCAAAAGGGCCAGCGCTCCTCAATGTTTAGATCATGTTAGATGTTGATGTTTTTCTTCTACTCTGTACTCTGGTGTCACATTCACAATATAATCATTAACTGATTTACTACTCATTTAAGAACTGACATCACAGCCCAACAGGCATACCCATAGATGCTTAACATAACACAAAAATTGACTAGAAAGCTTAACGGAAGCAATGAAAATGATGCAGACGAACACAATCAATGTTTCAACCAAAGTCTTTATCACCCCCCTATTTATGTCAGATCCATAGATGCTCTGTTTCCCTTAGCAAATGTCTAAAGGTGTAGATGCTAACTGTTCTTGTAGCACACTGATTATATAGGCGTCGTTCTCTTCCTCATATACCCATCCTCGTTGGATCAACTCCTAACTCTTTCCTCACACATTCTTACACATGTTATTTCATCTAACCCTGTGTTTTCTAACAGTATTCGTTCATATACGACTTTCACCATGTCTCCCTTGTCCAGTACGAGTGTTCTCATAGCTATCACTTTTGTAGGCAGATAATCTGCTTTTTTATTTCCTTGCACCCTTGCATGACCCAGACCGTATATCCAAGTGATTCCCTGCAATGCTAACACACTGATGCTTCGTATCCAATCATTAACATCATCTTTGAACTGCTGCCCTTATAAGCAGGAGGCAAGAAAAATCAGAGAGTATCAAGTTGGGAGATGTTCCAGGGCAGTCCCGCTGTTAATTACAATGTACAGCTTCACTAGAAGAAATCGATGTATAGGGGTAATCAGCTATACCAGTGATTCCCAAACTGTGCGCCACAGCACCCTGGGAAGCCGCGACCTCTTCTCAGGGGCGCCGCAAAATACTGTAAAAGCTTCATAATTAATTTAACCAAGACATGAATAGCCATACTTTTACTTAGGTTAGGGCGCCCTGGAAAAATTTTAATCGAAAAAAGGTGCCGCGACCAAGACAAGTTTGGGAAACACTGAGCTATACTGATCATCAACACTAATACAATCTGTACAGAAACATGTCGGCATCTGTGGTTTCGGCATTGTGAATGTGCTTCATAATGGCTGAGTGCAAAGTTTGATCCCAGCTACGGATGATTTGTCTTGTGTTGGTTTCAACAGTGGTCCTAAGAGATGACTGTTAAGACAGGAATGGCAAAATACTGAACATAAAATTTGCCTAGAAAAACCACAAGAGCCAAAAAATGCTGAGGTTGGTTCTGCAATGTCCTGTAAAAGATATACAGCTAATTTTTTTTTGGTGTTAACAGAAACATCTGTGCAATCAAACAGTGACTCATAAAGTGGCAGTCACGACTCAAGTTAGTTGCATGTCCTGTTCACGACCTCAAAAACCAACCCCAGTATTTACTGGCTGTGTGGATCTGCTAGGCTTCTTCTTTAGGGATCAATGTTTGCTATGCATCTATTCCAACATAGGTCCTAGCAGAATGGTGGGCTTAAGATCACGTGGACATCCTCTCTGCCTTTTCTTAAATAATCTCCAAAGAATTCTGCATACCTTACACCCACCCACACTAGACTACAGGTTACTTCAAAACCAATTTTGTGCTTCCCCAATATAACTGTGCTATGACTATAAGGTTGAATAGGGTTTAGATGATTTGCTAATGCGAATCTGGAGGTTAGTTGCTTATCCTTTACAGGACATTGCAGAATCAATCCCAACAGCCCCTGGCTGTTGTGTGGTTTTTCTAGGCAAATTTACGTCCAGTAGTTTGCCATTGCTTTCTGGTCGGTCAGCTTTCTTGATACCACTGTCAAAACCAAAGTAACGCGCATGGCCCGCAGCTGGGATCGAACCCGGTACCCCGGCATTACGAAGCGTTCACATTGACTTAGCCACAGAGCCGACAAATCTGGAGGACAAATTCTTTGAAAAATAAAAAAAATTTTGAATTTATCTGTACTTATTCAGAGGGTAGGTCAATCCCAAGTAAGAGCTGAACTGGTTGGGGAACAAATTATGTCACTAATGGAGACTAAACCTGAATCCCTGTCTTGAACGCAAATGAATATGCATAATTCAAATCATTGTTAGGGACTGCAAAACTGCACATTAAAAGGACCTGAAATATATTACTATCACTAGTTTTAATTCTATTGCTCTGAATTTAAATTAAATGGGTTGGCAAGAAGTTTGAGACCACCTTGTAAAATGATATATGTCCATACTAACATTACAAAGCATTGACTCCATCGCTATTTTAGGGCACAAAAAATGCTGAGAGAGCAAACAAAACCTTCAAATGTAAATACAATCAATATAATACCGTACAGAAAACAATAAGGGTAGAGGGAGTAGAGGGGGGGGGGGGAGATTCACTTCTATTCAGTCTCCCCCGTGTGGGTTCCAGGGCCCCATTGTGGGGAAAACAAGAATAGACCCACTGCTTCCCCATAAGCATGTCGTAAGAGTCGACTAATTGGGGAGCTTCCTTTGAAGTCGGAGTGCATCTGCCGGAGAGGCAAGGAACCAACAGTCTGTATTCAAGAGAATGAGATCTGTAAAACGGATGCACATGCAACACTCAGGTTCTGAAACAGGACTGCAGTTCAGTAGTGGACGAGCAACCAGAACCTTCCGCCAGAGTTTACAGCTGGTGAACGCGAAGAAGAAGAAGACTTCTATTCAGCATCCTTTTTGGAAGAAAAAAACATGAAATCAGAAAAGCTAAAAAATCTTATTAAATAATATTCAGAGTTAGGTCACTGTCAGTATGCTGAAATGAGCCAGCTCTCCCCGATGTTCAGATCATGTTAAATGTTGATGTTTTTCGACTATCTTTCGAATACCGGCCACATATTATGGCGCCCACAAAAACACCCTAACAGGGCCTCAGTTACATGTAAATTGCGGACTTCCGGCGACATAAATTACGCACTGACACTACTTAAGTTACAGTGACTACCGCCACCGCCCGAGAGTATTTACCATGCCACTACGGGCGGCGTGGATTCTGCATCTCCTGCAGCTTTGCTCGTGAGTCCCAGCCATCTAGTTTAGCCCCAATCTCGGCGCTGGCGGTATAGTCGCTTGAAGTCCGCAATTTACATGTGACTGAGGCCCTGTTTTTAGCCGCCATTATATGTGGCCGTTATTGTTATTCGGAGGATAGTCTGTTTTTCTTCTACTTAGCAGTACTCCGCTGTGGTGGGTACTCCTGTCAAATCCGGACGAAGAATAAACAGCCTAGGACGACTTAGTCAGAGTTCTCTCCCTTGGCCGCACTCCAAACAGTGATCGGAAAAGCCACAACGAAACAAAGAAGACAGTCACGTCGACATCAGGGCTGCCATTGCTTGGTTGTTTCCCCCAGATCCGGGTTTTTTTCGACGCTGCAGGGCAATTCTGGGTGTTTTTTTTGGGTGTGTTTTGTTTGTTGGCGTTTGCCGAATTATATGCTTTAATGATCGATAAATTTGCATGGTTAGGGGGTAGGGGTTAGGGTTAGGGAGTAGGATTAGGGTTAGCGGTAGGGTTAGGTTTAGCGTTAGATTTGACAATTTTGACGCCGGAGTTCCCTATAATCGCACACAGTCCCATACACACACACAAACAATCGAGGGCCTCTGGATGCTGGTCAAACGCACAATTCGCCAACGATTGGGGGCACCAGTCGCACGCTATTGGCGTCATATTTGGCAGAGTTTCAGTGGCGCCACTCCCACAAACATCATATTGTCGGCCAGTATTTCCAAATCCTACGTCAAAATTTTCACATCTAACCCTAACCCTACCCCTAACCCTGCCCCTAAACCTAACCCTACCCCTAACCCTACCCCTAACTCTAACCCAACAACCGCATGATGATGACTACACAACCATTCACAATGCCTCACGAAACCGTACGCAGCCCTACACGCAACCGCAGGATGATAGGTAAGTGTGTCGTTTATTTCGTTTGTTTTCCGATTACTGTTCGGAGTGCGGCCAAGGGAGAGAACTCTGACTAACTCGTCCACGGCTGTTTATTCTTCGTCCGGATTTGACAGGAGAGCCGCTGTGGTGTTACATTCACGAAATAATCATTAACTGATTTATTTACTACTCATTTAAGAATTGACATCACAGCCCACCGGGCATACCCATAGATGCTCCGTCTCCTGCAGCAAATGTCTTCAGGTGTAGATGAGGCTGTAATTCCACACAATAAGTTAATGTATTAAATTGTTATGAAAATGAATGAACCAGTGGGTACCGGTAAGTAAGAGCTCGGAGAGGATCATTTAAATTAGTGTAACCGAGGTATGGATTCTAATTCTTACACATTATACACATAAGGCCTGTGTTACTTTTAATCTTATCATGTAATATTTACCTTTGATACATAACGCGGAAAAGCCATCGATTTGCTATCAATGTCACCCTAGCACCATTCCTGATGGAGGCAGCCATTTTTTTTAGCTTTCAGATTTCATAAAAATTGGGTTCACTTTATTTCGTTTCGTTTCAGTGCATATTTTTGCTTAAATCGTCCAGGAATCTTGGTTTGCACTCAAGAACCGACAGATGAAGTCCGTTAAAAAAGATATACAATCTTCAGAGCCTGAGGCAAGCGAGCGCTTAATCACTAAGTCACGGGAACACCCTTTGCTATATTTTTCATGAAACATTAATTCCTTTTGCATTGATTGGGGCTTATAGAAATGTGGACTATCTGCAGCATATCGTATCAGGTCATACAGTTTTAGAATTAGTTAAAACTTCTAAGTGTCCCTCCTCCATTCCAGATTTGTCTTGCTTTTGTATGCTGCAAAACTGGCTTCTTCTTTTTCTCAAGCAATTGTTAACCTAAAAGACACTCAGTTTGTAGACTTGACTTAGCAGCATGATCCACTTAGGCTTTTCGGTAGAACAGTCTATACTGCAGTGGATTACTGGTCAATGTGGCTTGGAAGGCAGTGAAAAAGCCGACAGATTAGCCATAAATAAGCCATGTCAGTAGACATCATTCTAAGAAGTAAGGAAAGGACCCCCAACCCCTTTTCCACGTTTTCTGACGTATTGAGTATATAGGGCTAGATCTATCGGCGATCGGTGAAGAATGTGATCAGCTAACGCCGGCAGTCTTTACTTCTCAGGATTCCTCATGGTACTCATGCAAGGCTGGGTCGACTTAGGAGTCAAGGATATTTTTGAAAAAGTCAGGTACCGTCATGACTCGAACCCACGACCTTCTGATTCACAGGCGAGCGTCGACTTGCTGCAATGTGGTGGTTCCCACTTTAACTATGGAATATGACAAATCAAAAGACTTCCGTGTAGTGCCAAGAAAATTGTATCTAAATTAAATGAATGGGCGGATAATTGTCACGATGGGGCTGCCAAATCTCCGTTGATCCCCGGTTGAGTGTTTTGGAACTAACAGCACCGCAAACAACTTTTAGAAAAATATAAAAGGTAATCGTGACACGGAACCTTACAAATTATATATACCTTGTTGTTGATTTGGGTGGGTGAGGTGTGATGCCTCGTTCCCACTGTAGTCAAATTCATCGGTAAACATGGCCGACGTTGTTGCGCACCTGTTTTGCTTTCATTACTTTCGGGAGTAATAAAACTCCCCATTATGACAATTGGTTTCATAATCGCTCCAATTAACAAATGGACTGCATTATAGCAATGGTTGATTGACGTTAAACGCATTACACCTAGCGATAAATACCCGGTGACACAAAGTACCGCCATTCGGATGAGGATCACCCAAGGACAGGTCCCAGAAACCCCGTTCAACCGCTGGGTTAAATTGTTGTACTTTCTGTACTAATTTTACCGTTATCATTATTCTCGAGAAGGACTGCCTTTGTTTATCTAACATTTAATTATATTCTTTATATTCTCGTGGGAGGGAGGTGTAATAGAATATCTTGACCTTGAGCAGTGTTTTTTTTTAGCTGCTTTATATCTGTATCACTTTAACACTTTCTTTCTCACCGACTGTTGACGGAGATTTGGAAAACATGCTTTTGTCGGTAGCCACACCCGTAAAGTAGAGGGAAAAAAAATAATACTTTAATAAAACAAACCCACCACCTTCAGAGCACAAAGCGTTGACCAAAAAAAAAAAAAATTACAGCATGTTTCCGCTGGGGCTTGAACCCAGGACCTTCCGCGTGTTAGGCGGATGTGATAACCACTACACTACGGAAACTACAGGTTAGCCTAGGACAAATTAGGTACTAATTGACCACCTACTTGGAACTACATGATAAGTTCCCATCAACACTTGGAGGGTACAGATTGAGGAAAGAGACATGGTCCAATGCTGCTGTTTTCGCCTACGATGTGTACGAGGGATTTCAGATTAAAGAAGAGACATGTGCGGCAGTGTTGGACTTAGAAGATGCCTACAATAAAGTACCATATGATTATTTAATGCAATTACTGCTTAAACTAGAAGTCAATCCTATTCTGATCCGCTGGATTGCTGTGGTCCTGTTCCAGAGAAAGATTGTACTAAGATGTGGTAGCTGGTCCTCAGAACCGCAAACGATATGTCCAGGCTTGCCACAGGGATCACCGCTATCACCAGTCTTATTCAATGTTTATACGGTGATGATCACTGAGCAGCAGTTGAATGGAAAGGGAAGGACTTTGTCATTTGCTGATGACATTTTGATTTATCGACGAGGGCGTGATAGACAGGAGATCGCCAGCACAATGCACAAAGAACTCGATCGAATTGCCGCCTGGTGTGATGGTTCCAATGCCTATGTCAATCCCTCGAAGGCATCAGTGTCATGGTTCTCTTTGAACAATCACATTGTCAAGTCGGACTTACCAGAAGTGAAAATGCGTGATAATGTATTGATCAGAACCAACGTTATGACGTTTCTCGGGGTGAGGTTCGATCGCAGCTTGTCATTCAGGGAACACGTTGACCATGCGATAACAAAAGCACGCAAAGGTCTATCTGCAATGAGGATTATGGCTGCTTCCAATATCGAGCAAAGACTGCTGGTGCTTCTATTCTATGGTCTGGTCCTTTCCCCCATTGAATACGCTCTGGCCATCCTCACTGTCAGTGCTACCCAGATTGAACGACTCGAGAAGGTGCAAAATGAAGCCATGCGTATTATTTTGGGATGTACAAGAGACACATCCTGTGGAGCAATGAGGTATCTACTTGACTTTCCAACAATGAACCAAAGGATCAGGATGTGGAGGGCTCGGGCATACCTCAAAATATGTGCTGATAAGAAACACCCACTGCATCAAGCGCTTTTTAGTGAAAAGGGCGACAGACTGAAGAGGGGAAAATCGTGGCTAGGTCGGGCAGAAGATGTTATTAGGCAAATATGCAGCCTAACCGACATCATACCTGGTGCAGAATGGAGACCTGTGCCTCAGGCGTTTATTTGTACATTTTCCTGTATTGTCACACTCAACAGGCGATGTAGAGAAGATAATCCTGTTGCTGTTAATGCAGAGGTCAACGCTCTCATCGGTGAAAATTCAGACGAAGCAGATGCACTAATCTATACAGACGGATCAGTTATACGCCTGGCTTGAAACACAAAAATACACCCGCATATGTATACTCAGTGATTCAATGAGTATGATCCGGAGGGTTCAGGCAGGTTCAGTGCGAAGACAATGGCTTGAATCAATTCAGAAGTCCACTGTGCGAGGAGTCACCTTTATTTTTGTTCCGGGACACGCAGGCGTCGATGGAAATGAAAGAGCTGACAGGTTGGCTGGATCCGCTATCACTACTGACGGTCGGCCTATGGATCATGCTGATATTATCAATGCCCTCAGAGAAATGGGAAGGATAGAGGACTTTGGTGGCAGTGAATCCACATCACTCGCCAGAATGGCAGACTTGGGAATTAAGATCGGCACAGCAAAAAACGAGACGCACACCGGACACGTCAGAAGACTTGTTAATCAACATAGAACTGATACTATTAGCCATCAGACGTTGGGATTCATACTGAGGGGAGGATCTGAGCACCTATGGACATGTCCGGAGTGCAATGATGATAACCCAACTAACTAACTAACTAACTAGAAAATTGGTAATAAATTAATGTTTCCTGATTATTTGGAATTTAGTATTAGAACAGATTACTTGCTACCTTTTTTTATATAGGTCATCTGCAGTGAATCTACAGCCCTCTGTCAGCAAAGTTTCAGTGACAACTGAGATGGGGTGAGTGTACTGATCTTTCAACTGGTGTCCTCGTACGACCGTCGTACGAGGACACCAGTCTCAGCTTGCTCTGCTGGTAGAACAGCCCAGGAATCCAGCGGTACATTCTGATTCTCTACTACCACCACAACCACTACAACCGCTGCGGCTACCACTACCACTATTACTACCACCACTACCACTATTACTGCTACCACTACCAGCACTACTACAACTGTAACCACCACCACTACTACTACTTCTACTACTACTACTACTACTACTACTACTACCACCACCACTACTGCTGCTATTACTACTACTACCACCACCACCACTACTACTACTACTACTACTACCACCACCACTACTGCTGCTATTACTACTACTACCACCACTACTACTACTACTACTACTACCACCACTACTAGTACTGCTGCTGCTACTACTACTACTACGACTACTACTACTACTACTACTATAGCAGCATAACGCTAGAGGTGATGGCAGTGACGCTAATTTTAATGTGGCTGGAATCACAGGGTTATTGCCATACAGCTGTGCTGAGTGATTCTATGAGCATGACTTTTTTTTTTAAATTGTGAACTTTATTATTATATATTATATTCGTGTGTGTCTGAGTGAGTGAGTGACTTTCTACCCCACTAGGACATCACACAAGCGATAAACACCCGATGACACAAAGTGCCACCATGTGGATGAGGATCACCGTGGAGAGGTCCCAGAAACCGCGTTCAGACATTTGGCAATTTTTATGGCCTGCCTATATTGCGGCCCCTGGCAAAAGCCAGAGTGGGGCTTCAAATAACAAAAAATTACGTCCTAAAAAGGACGTGGATTGGATTGGCTTTTTACCCCACCAGGACATCACACAAGCGATAAACACCCGATGACACAAAGTGCCACCATGCGGATGAGGATCACCGTGGAGAGGTCCCAGAAACCGCGTTCAGACATTTGGCCATAATGATGACCTGCCTATATTGCGGCCCCTGGCAAAAGCCAGAGTGGGGCTTCAAATAAAAAAAAATAACGTCCTAAGAAGGACGTAAGAAATATAATGTAAAAAAAAAAAAAGGACGTAGGAAATAATAATGCAAAACATGCTCTCAGACCTAGATCCTTGGTGTTCAGGATCAACACTCACTTCTGCTCTACATCACCAGCCAGCATAATTTCTCCCCAGTCTGCCTCTTCGGCCGCAGACTTGTCTAATTCCTATGATGTTCTCTATTGCCTA